GTCCATCATTCAATGTAGTGTGTCATGTACTCTTATTTACGAGTTCCGATTGTTCACAAGCTGCCGGTACGACAACGGAGCGTACACTTCGCTATGGTTCCACACTTATGTTATTGCTTGCTATTGAGGACGAGTAATATTAACTACAGGGGATCTGCTCGAGAATGATGTCAAAAATCTCGGGAGGAGACTGCATTGCGATTCAGTCGTGTGCTTGGACTCTGCGGCACGGCATTACTTGATATTGTCAATCCCTCAACACGTGGTATGGGCACATGGTGTAGTTGGTTATCACGCCCGCTTAGCATTTATGTGTGGCTGCGGGCGGTGCCCGGTTCAATTCCGGGTGTGTCCATTTGAAGATTGATCTTCTCAAATACCATTTTTGCAAGATTCCTCTCAAAGACCTTGCATCAAACCTGTATCAAACCTGTGTTGGACCTGCGTGTGTCAAACATTGTATATACTTGACTTGCAGCAGAATTTGTGGGTATATGTATACCAATGACTGTGCTGGAAAAAGGGGTGGAATGGGAAGTGGGGGTCTTATCAAGAAACAAGGGACTAGTTGAGTTGGCAAATGTATAAGACTGCAAGTATTGGAAAGAAGAGAAAGCTCTCCCATGCTGTCCCATACCATCACAAGTTCTGAATCTCAGGATAAATCTCCAAAGAATACCATCTGGGCACAGGGAAGGTTTAGAGTTGAGGCTAAAATTACCAAATTCACTATTGTATCATTAATTATCATGCTTAATATAACTTTGGATTTCCTTCTGCTAGTTGTGTGATTGAGCTGCAACTCCCAGAGGTCACACTTACAGCAGAACAAGTCTCCTAACTCTGGTCTGGAAGCCCCTCATAGCCTGCCAGGACTCCCTAGGCCCCTATTTGTTGCTTCTCCACCAAGCTCAAACACCTGTATAACTCTATATCTCAGCTTGCCAATCCAGACACTCCTTTGGATGCCCTAGCTCCTCAGGATGAGGCCTGGACTTGCCTGCTACATCTAGAGATGCAGGTGTAACTGACCCAAGCTTCTCTCACCCACCACATAACCAAACTTTCCACACTCCACTAAACCACCAATCACATTTCCCAATTCCTCCAGGCACTACTAGAGTGCCTAACTCCTTGCACTGCACCACCTCCAGTGGCAGAGCCCTCTCCGGTAGCACTAGCAGTTCCAGCAGTAGCCCCAGGGGTTCTGGCAGGTCCCCAGGCACAGGTACCATGCCCAGCACTCCCAGACATGTACAATGGTGACCGCACCTTTGGGGAGTGTTTCCTCCAGTCCTGCCTCACTTACATTCATCTTAGCAGAGATGCCTTTGACTCTGATGCATTGAAGATAGCTTGGGTGCTGTCTTACATTCAGGCCAGACAGGCCTCCACTTACGCGCTGCATGTGCTCCGACGTCCTGGAGGTGTTGGAAGCTTTACAGACTGGGCCATCTTTGAGAAGGATTTCTGAGCAGAGTTTTTCCTGATTGATCCTGCCAAGTTTGCTGCACTAGTGCTGTGCAATAGAAAACAGTACAGACAGGGAAAGCAGACATTGGATGAGTACATCGACTCCTTCCAGGTGTTGGTCAAGCAAGCAGCCTACCCAGACAGTCTGCAGCTGTGTCTCACATTCCAAGATGGCCTGCACCCCACCTTAATGGAGCATATTAACAACCTTGCTGAGGGCTACCCAGACAACAAACAGATTGCCTCCTGGTACAAGGTGGCCAGGGACCAATGGCATGGCTTCTACCTCTGGACATTCCCATAGATATAAATGCGGCCCAGCAACAAAACCTTGCATCGCTATTGTGTCGGCAATGCAAAAAGCTCAGGCACTTTGCACAGTACTGCCTGCTGGGCTTGAAGGTGCGCTACCTCTCTACCATGGAGCAAGAAGAGCTCCTCCTGCAACTGCTGGCCACAAAGAATGCTGCTGGAGCCCTGTCACCAGATGAACTGGCACCGGAATTGGCCCCAGAGGAGAGTGGTACATGCACCCCTCTCCTAGGCCCAGAGAAGGATTTTCAGTTGAGCGACAGATGAGGTGTATGCCTCCGTTGCTGGGTACTAATAAGTTTACATGTCTGTTGTTAGAAAATGCAAATACACACTCCAAAGCCAGTTATTCTAAGATAAAAGAACCTCGAAGTCCCCTCTCAGATGTACAGATACCATCTCCAAGTTTCAATCCACCCTCCTCCACATCAGTCAAGCCCTGTCAGCGTGGTCCCCCCACCTGGGAACACTGGCTGCCCTAGCATCATGTGGTAGCCTCCACTCCCTTAGCAAACTTGCTGCACCTCAACATGGAGATTAAGACCACAGACATGCAACAGGCCCAGGAGGTCACAGCTCTTTTGGATAGCAGAGCAATGGGACTATTTTGGACACAAAGTTTGTGAAACACCATGGCCTAACTATGCAGCCGCTCTTCAAGCCCATTCCTGTGTTCAACATTTGGAATTCCCAACAAAGCTGGTGCCATCAGCTCCATGGTAGACCTAGTCCTCCACTATCAGACCCATGCCAGATGTGCAGTCTTTGCAGTTACCAGCTTAGGCAAGCAAGACATGATTCTTAGCTTCACTTGGCTCCAGGAGCACAACTCAGAAGTAGACTGGGCCCGAGGCAAGGTAACAATGAGCTGGTGCCCCCGAAGGTGCTCCACCTGCACAACTGAGGTCAAAGAAGAGCACTGGGCTGGTGTGCAAGAGCGTGTGGCCATCCAGGCTTGCCATGCAGGCCACCTCCTCTTTGCAGACCTTGACCTCCTAGATCCTTCACTCTGGGCGTTCTCTTGTAAAGAGGCCCTTTATAAGAATGATCAGAGCAGCAGTGAGGCCCCAGAGGAAGAGCTGGGAGGAGAGTTCCATGGCATCCACCACTCAGAGTTTCCAGATGAAGCAGTAGAAGTTGGGGACTGGATCTATGCGACCACTCTGCACCCGCTGCTATCCATTGAAAAAATCTGGGCCAGCCAGACCACTTCTCAGCAGTTGGCTCAGGCGTTTGCCACCAACTCTCTGCTCCAAGCATTCCAGGATGTGGTGCCCCAGTACTTCCATAGCTTTGAGGATGTGTCCTCTAAGGTCTCCTTTGACTTGCTTTCAGAGCACAAGCAGTGGGACCATGCCATTGAACTGATGCTGGACTCCAAACCCTCCAGCTGTAAGGTCTACCCATTAGCACCTAAGAAACAGGACAAGCTCAATGCCTTCTTTCAGAAGAACTTGAACTCTGGTTGCATCTGCTTGTTCAAGTTGCTGATGGCTTTTCCAGTCTTCTTCATCAAAAAGAAGGATGATTTGCTCTGGCTAGTCCAGGACTACCAGATGCTTAATACCATGACAATGAAGAACCGCTACCCCCTCTCCCTCATCTCCAAGCTCATCAATAACCTCTAGGGGGTGCGGTACTTCACCAAACTGGATGTTTGGTGAGGCTACAACAATGTGCACATTCAGGAAGGAGACAAGTGGAAGGCTGCCTTTCGGACCAATTGAGGGCTGTTTGAACCACTTGTCATGTTCTTTGGACTCACCAACAGTCCAGCCACTTTCCAAACAATGATAAACAACATCTTCTGAGACATCATTGCAGAAGGTGTAGTGTGTGTATACCTTGACAACATTCTCATGTATACTAAGACACTTGAGGAGCATCGCCAGGTCATGCACATTGTTTTGAAACCTCCACCAGCACCAGCTCTACCTTAAACCAGAGAAGTGTGAGTTTGAGCAGACCTGAATCAAGTATTTGGGGCTAATCATCTTGCATGGAGCTGCAGAGATGGACCCAGTGAAGGTGGCAGATGTGGTGGAGTGGCTGGAGCCCAAAAACAAGAAGAAGGTGCAGGCCTTCTTAGAATTCACCAACTTCTACAGGAGATTCCTCCAGAACTTCTTCCATCATATGCATCCTCTATTTGAATCACTGCAAAGGATGCTGCCTGAAGCTGGGGGCCCAGAGCAAACTGCCTTTGATGCTTTCAAGCAAGCAGTCACCTCTGGGCCTGTCCTCCTCTTCCCAGACGACAACTCTCCCTTCTAGATGGAAGCAGACAGCTTCAACTTTGCCATCAGAGCTCTCTTGTTGCAACAGTCTTGGTGATGACACCTGAAATTGTACCAAGTGGTGTTGGAGTAGGCAATCACAAGGTGAATAGCGTTGGGCTCACTAGTTGAGGAGAACCAGGCAGGGTTCCAGAAATCAGTTAGCAGAGGGTAGCGGTAAAGAAGTGTGAGGCAATGCTTAGCATAGTTTCCAAGCACTGGAGGCCTGCTATACATGCAAGGCATGTAGTGAACTAGGACTAGGACACTGGCATATTTCCAGTGGCAAGACAAAGCACTATACAATGGCGCCTTGGTGTAGAATAGGCTTAAGATAGACAAAATTGAGCTCTGAAGCCTAGGCGTAAAAGATAGAGGGTGAAGGTAACATGTCATTTGCAGAGTATAAGTACAGTATATATATACTAAGTCATAAGCAAAGTCGCCGTTGGTGACCAAGGGTCACCAAAGTGGCAAACTTGGTAAGTAAGTAATAGCCAACAATTTTTTATATAGGAAAATGTCAATCAGACCTTGGTGATACCTAGTTCAAGGTTGGGACCAATCACAAGAACCTTGAGTACTTCTGGACAGCCAAGAAGCTCAACTGTCTCTGTTGTACCACAGGCTTGGCCAGAGTATGGGAAAACCTGATGTGCTGTCCCAGAGAGCAGACCACGGCACTGGCGGAGACAACAACAACAACATTGTGCTCCTCCAGCCAGAGTTGTTTGCCATCCAGGCCATGGAGGGCTTGGCGGTCCAGGGAGCAGAGGTTAATATCCTTTGGAACATCCAGCATGGAAACCAGGATGGCCACTATGAGGATGTTGTTGCTCAGGCAGCCATGGCTCTGAAGTTGGGACCCACCATGGGAGCCAAGTCAGTCTGCATAGATGAATGGGCCCTCCAAGATGGGCTCCTGATCTCTCCACCAAAGAGTTATTGAGCAGCAGCATGATTCCCGCATTGCCAGACATTCTGGCTGATGGAAAATGTTGGAGCTAGTGTCTTGGAACTACTGGTGGCCCCAGATGTTCTGGTACATTGGATCCTACACTAGCATGTGCGACCTTTGCCTCTAGATTCAGAACAATGAAGCATAGCCTCTGTGGACTTCATTGTAGAACTTTTTGATGCTCATAACTATGATGCCATCATGGTAGTGGTGGACCTTTGTGGCAAACAAGCGCACTTCATCTCCACCCATACCACCTGCTCTGCTATAGGCGCTGCAAATCTGTACCAGAAGAATGTCTGGAAGCTCCATGGCCTCTCAGATGCCTACATGTTG